AAACCATAACTAAGATCCACCCCGTGTGTCTAAGGAATTAATGTGTTTGATTAAACCTGTGTCCACATGGCTATGGGTACTCACTTAATCTGGTTATAAAAATATCATTCTGTGCAATCATCATTTGGGATTATAAATCTGATAAATAATAGTAATATTCACTAACCTTTAAGGGAATATCAATGAGTTTCAGATATTTTTCCAAAGTCTGATCATAATTCTTTTTTACTACTATAATTGCCTGATGAATTATTTCTCTTAACTTATCTTTTGAATACCACGTATCATCTTCTATTAGTTGAAAAATAACAGAAAATGCGGTAATATGATCGGAAGGTGAATCAAGTAAAAAATTATAAATATTTTCATATAATGTGGAAACGGTGGGGCTTGGATGGACATTTCGAGGTGGATTTGAAATTGCTTGTTCCAATGCTTGCGCAAGTAAACTTTTATTCACTATTAGGATATTCTATTGCAATTATAGAATGTTAGCCGACTAATGATGAAACTAAAACAAAAAAATAGGAGATAATGTGAAATTATCAAACATACCCTTAAGGTTAATAATAATCGCACAAGAGACTTGACACGCTTTGGCGAATTGGAATCCAAAGGAATATCAGCATGGTCAAGGTGAAAATACCTTGGAATTCCGCTTGCATCATTCATCAGAACATTCAAATATATGGTCGTACCAGCAACCTGAACACCAACAATTCCAAATTGGTTACTAGTTGGCCTACATGTAATATTTACAAAACTCGCGCCATCTAAGGTTTCTCTCCACAGCTTCACTTCGTCATTAGCTTTTTTTGTAGTACTACATATAATACGTGAGCACTCGACATATGTAAGCTCAATTATTTTATCCATATATTGGTCTAATACCATAACGTCGGGTTTCTTTCCCATTCGTTCTTTATCTGCCCCAGCATTTTTGCGAGCTTTACTTGCTAAACTCTGCCGTTCAGCCGTGCTTAAGCAAATATGTCCGCTTGGTAAATCCCCTAATGTAGCTCGAAGTAGTGGTACTATTACATCTGTGACGTAAGTACCTTCACTTTGCTTACTACGAGATTCATTGGTTGTAAATGCTGGGTTGTTCCAAATTTCCGCACTAAATATAACTTATTGATGAATTTGTGACATAAAAATCATTATGAATTATAACTATCAAGGAAGTATAGAAGAACTTACAGTACGCTAAGTATCTGTTCCGTTCTTTTTTCCAATTCAAGACCAGTCTCTTTCCACGTTTTGTCATGTACGGTATTTCTAAAGTTATTTGGCATGTGTCCTCTGCGAAAATTATTTGTAAACTCCTCACACTTGGAAATAATTTCTCTAGGAAGTTCACATTTCATTTTCTCACGCGGTTCCTAAAGAAATAATAATCCCTTATAAAAGTCAAGAATATATGTAGCGTCTCTGGCTATGTATTTACTGAAATATACTTACCAAAAAATGACGCTTCTGTCTTATTTTCAAGTTTTGCACTAATGAAGATTCATCACTAAGAACCGTGCTCGCTTCCGGATCACGCCATGTAAGATCAGATTCGATACTTTATAAATTTTTTTTGATGCTATCATAAAGAGATGCATCCGGCTCTGTTAATGGAGAACTAAGTTTCGATTTTAATACCCTGATATTTTGATCTATTTCTTCCCGCGTATAGTCTAGAGATGCTTCTTGAAGAGTATTTAGCGCCTTTATTGCTTTTAAACCGACGATGCTTCTATACCCATTTTCCATCTACAGCAGATAGAATTCGCGCGAATAAATATATGCCACTAAATACTGTATATACCACTAAATTCTGCACGTGCAATCAGATACTAACAATCTCTGAGCTTTATCGTTTGGCTAAATTGACCACGCACAGCCAGGGAGGAGCAGAAATCCTCGACATATAGAGGAATAAATATTCCTGAACACATCGCTCTTCCGGACCGGCATTCCCCGACCTTCAGCAATGGCCAACCAAATACAGCTCATTATCTGCTGTAATTTTCATCATTATATGCTAACAAATAATCCATATAAAAAATTATTACAAACCTGCGGTAAAATTTCTAACACCTTAGTCTTTCGCTCAAGATTATCTATTTTCATCAAAGATGAATTGACTGCCCGGTCGACTAACTCTCGTACTTTATTATATGGAGGCAAGACGTTATCCTCTATCGTTAAGTAAACTACAGACGCCCCGCAAAGAGCATCTAATGAATCGCATACTAAAAGTTCTTCTATCTTAGCTACTAAATTTGCCATAGTAAAAAAAATGTTAATAAAAATGTATTGATATAATATGGAATTCTCAATGACCTAAACATAAATTTCCTATACCGTCCTTTTAAATGTCTCGCATTCCCCACATTCATGCTCTCTCTAACTCGCAATTCATGATGGGAGGAGGAGATAGGAGAAATATGCGATGCACTTTACGCCAAAAGTTTGTGTTCGAGAATAAGGGCATGCGGAATGTGCATTGAAGATCTCGACTTTTAGAATGGTGTTGGGGACAATGCATATACGGACTTTTTCCCTATTCTTTCGGCAAGAATTTTACCGAATATCTTCTGCGCATTTTAGGTGATCGACCACATGATGAAAAAATAAGCGGGATATAGAGATGACGTCTTACTACGCATGATATCTAAGCCACCCACGTGATTCATTTTTATATGATTTTTATACTAGATTCTGATATATAGGGTTGAAGCGAGGAGAAAAAGTATAAATCAATAGACATTTTTCCAATGCATATACTTTGCCTATCTGCTATAAAAAAATTGTTTTATTAAGAAAAAAGAAATCTCGATCATACATGTCCATCCGCACAGTATAGTAAATCCCATCATTTATTATATACATTTTTTGGTGTATAATTTCCAATGCGTATACAGGAAGATTTAAACTGTTTACTATCTTGAACATATTAAAATAATATTGTCCGATATATCTTAAAATTAATGTATACATACGAGAAGACATTGAGTAAAAAATAAAAAAAAAATTCCATATAAAACAAGTATAGATCTTAAAGCTATATAGAAATCTTTTTTGGCGAAAAAAAAACACCTTTTGTTATGCGTCTATGACCCTCGTTTAAAGCTTGATAAAACGCATCTGTGTTTTTCTTAGTCCTAGCTTTCCAAGATAAGATGATTTTCACAGCCAATATTAATTTTGAAAAGCCTTCTACGGTCCTTGGGACCTCAATATCTTGTAGATCCATGGTAACGATGGTATTATCGAAAAGATACTTTGAAGTGGATATTGTCAGACAAAATCCATTCGATTGAAGGCTATAGACTTCAATGTCTTTAATGTTATCTTTAGAGGTGGAAGGAAGTGCGAAAAACAGAGCTGTTAATATAACCTTCGTACAATATTCCAACTTTCGAAGGTCACCGTTCTTCTTTCCACGAGTATTCAGAACTCCGTCTTCTTGAGCTAACAATTCGGTACCTAGAGACTTCAGGAAACCTTTACCATCAAGTTTGGGGGCACTACGTCCAGCAATGTTTAATATTTCTTTAAGCTTGTCATAAGACTTCGATGCCAATTCACCACAACTTAGTTTAAGATCTGTTTTCCCTAGGAATGCATTTCTTAGTAATGGAGTCCATACATATGCACTAAATTCGTGTTCAGACATAGATTGGAGGAGGATATCATTTTTATACAAGTGAAAGAAATGGGTGAAAAGGTTTTGTACATAAATGAGGTCATTTGATGATGTGTAGTAACCAATTAAATTTTCATCCAGGCATCTTCCTAAAGAGTCTAAATCTGATACATGATCAAACTTATTTAAGAACTGCAAAACATCATCATCACAATCGACCAGAAATTTATCAATGCCTTTTCCTTCACTAAAATTTACAGTCTTGACCTCGGGATCTTGAAGCTGATTAGAAATGAATTGTTTAAAATCGTGTGGTATATACTTTGTACATTCAGCATTGTAAAAGTTGATAACACCAATAGAGAGAGGGCTTTTTTCAATCCCTTTTGTAGAGTGAATAAAGTCTAAAACGTCTACACCATTATATGTTAACTTCTCGTTCGCTAAGACACGCACTTGATATGTTTCGAGGACTTCTTTCGCTATATCACGAGCAATGTATTTACTTCTCGGCTTTTTATTAACCATCTTCACTTCTTCTAAAGATACATTTGATTCGGCTTTCTTGTCCGGATTTTTTTCAAGCTCGATGGAAGTTGCAAGAAAGATATTCGAAAGATTAACAGGTGTAATCCCGGATTCAGATGACGATGAAGACTCTTCATCTTCTTCAATTACTGGAATGGCAGATTCTTCATCACTGAATGTTTTTATCTGTATATCTGAAATGTGAGAAGGTATTTTGTTGCGGGTAATGATTTAAACAATGGAAAATACCTTGTTTTCCGGGGTTTGTTGTTCGGGTTTATCTTTCTTAATCTTTTTTGTTGGCGGTTGAAACTCGTTTAGTGATGCTTCTTCGTTGATTTTTCTAGTGAAATATTTGATTGTTTTGATTGTTTCGTATGCTAAGTTTCGTCCTATAACTTCGTGTGATGCCTGTGAAGATCAAATCGTTAAGTAATTAGTCAGCGATCTATCTAGCTTTGACTAAAAATATATATATACACACACCCTGTCGAGTGAGGCTTCTACGCTTAGCCAATACAACTCGCAACTGGTTGATTGTGTCCACGCCTGTCAAAAAAAAGCAATTTAATCAAGCTAACTTATTCGTTTAACAGCTAGTGGCGAAAGTCCCATTTACCTCGAAAGAATCTAACAGACAAATCGCTCTCCTGCGATTGGTACTATTATTCTCATCCTTGATTATCACGAGGAGCTCTCGCAATTTTTCTTCGGCAAACCTTCGTGAAGTGTGTGAGAAGTTGAACGCTTTGTAGAAGTCTTCCGGCTTTAGGTCTTTGAGATTATCGCGTATCCAATCTAGCATTATAGCATTATACATAGAACTGATAGAAGTATGCGTATCAGTATTACGCGTAGAATTCGGGTAAATACTATTGGTCATATCATGTGATTTACGATTCGTATTTTCTAGGTTTGGTATTTTTCAACATTTGATTTTTTCGCGCTCGCAGACTGTCAGCGTTCCGATCTAAAAACGATCGGCGTATCAAGGGTAGAACAACTATCAGTGAATGGTTGCGTGGCGACGCTGGCACTCAAGTGCTTCGTTGAAAAAGATGGTTTGGTCAGTAGGCTTATTTCTTTGCAATGGCCCGCCCCATTGCCACCACGCAACGACCTGATCTTGTCTGCGGAGATGTTTCTGTTGTGTTTCGACATTTGACTCTTTGACATAGTCGGCGTATCAAGGGTAGACTTTGGGTCTATCAGTGAATGGTTGCGTGGCGACGCTGACACAAGTGCTTCGTTGAAAAAAAATGGTTTGGTCAGTAGGCTTACTTCTTTGCAATGGCCCGCCCCATTGCCACCACGCAATAACACTTCAGTTATGTCTTCAGCATCCAGCTGAGCGTGAAAAATCTTGATTTCCAAATCCCATATTGAATTTTTAATCACATGCACGTGTTAAAAAAAAGTAAAGCCCATGAGCGAACTTTATTAATTTTTCAGAGAAAGTGAAAAAATGCTAGAGAAACATATGATGCTATCAAAGAGGGAGAGAGTACGCGGATCCTAGGCCATTTAATGCGAGTCCCAGCATCAAATTATTTCTTAAAATATCTATAGCTAATTTTTTCTATCGCTATTCTAACTGAGATTCTCATTTCCATACTCTTTTTCTATACTAGATTTTCGAAATAAATCCCACCCATATCTACGCCTATCTATATCACTACTACCCGCACAGACTATGTAAAATAATATTTTCCGAAAGAGAACTTCGCTGAGATCAAATAATTTCGAGACTACAGCATGAATTCGGGGAATTAGCAATTGGGTTAAAAATAAAACAAGACAGGATTTCAATTCACTCTTACCATTGCGATTCATTTTCACATTATTCCACTCCGCCTCGTATTTAAGAAATTTGTTGCTTAGTTTAGTATAATAAAGTTTTTTTCGGGAAAATCGATTAACATCGTGATGACATGTTTCAAGAAGCTAGTCGAACAATAACCAACCTACCTTATTATATTACTTTGCAGATTATACTCGATTGATTGATTGTTGATATTGGTTGATGTTAGTAGTGGTAAGTTTGAATATTTCTTTTGATTTTTTTACTTTACTTGCACAAGACGGATAAAGGGATTCACTAAATAAGGCTTCACCTTTTTATATGATTTGTAGTGGGTTTAAGGATCGATTTTTGGAATAAATCTTTGGTGAAATTACGTTATTATGATTCATCACGAAAATCAGATCAACGGATACTCCTTAAAATCATAATAGACACTGGAATCATGTCCCTGGATCACCAAGGGAATTTTTTAATTTTTAATACATGCAAAAGCTTGAGTATATGCGGGAAGTTTCGAGAATAAATTATAGACTTGTTCCTGTGATACATGGTGATGATACTGCACATTTATCGAAATTTTTGGGTCTGGATCCGGATGAAAAACTGATCGAGAAATATTAGCATACAAACACAATCCCATACTTCTCAACACATATTAGATATTGACATATAAATATATTGCGTTTAATGTGCCTTAGCTTTATTGATTGTAAATAAAAAAATACATATTTTTGTTCATACTGTGGAATAATATCTTTACAATGCTATGATCGCGAATTTGAATTTATTGCTTGAAGTGTTGCAGGTAAGACAATATTTCAACTCATCTTGGGAATACAACTTTGCTAATTCAGGATCATAAGGGAGCTGATTCTCATTTTTGCAGTACCATGAGCCATGTAATCCATAATTCCCATGTTTTCCATCACAAATAGGGCATGGCGAGTTCCATGGCTGAGCAGATGCAAAATTATAATTATCAATCCCTCTGAAACTATTTCGGAATTTCAAGTATATGAAATGCTCTAACACAGATTTGATAACTAATTCTGGATCGGGTTTGGCTTTAAAAGTGATAGGTCCTTTTTCTTCACATTGTTTAGAAAAAGATAAATAAGATACTTTGTTTTCTGGCTTCGAATTTATGAGAAGGCTGGCTTCTGATGCATGTGCTTCTGATAATTGCCATGGCTCATACCCAGTTTTTTTTTTATATTTTTTGTATAAGCTGGACCGAATCTTATCTGTCAAAATGCTTGGTAACCCAGTTAATTTGGCATGCCAATCCAGATATTCGGGAGTTAATATTTTATTGGATTTGCTCATGTTTCCTTTTTTTCTATGATTATAGATCAATTTAAATTAGGTAATAGTTGACATGTGTAAAAAATAATGAGACTATGCAATTATCTCAATTTCACGCTGTTCACACTTAATAAAATAGGATCTAGCCTTATATTTACCTTTTATACTTTCCTCATCATCGTGATCTAAACTGCATAATGGGCAAGTCCTTTTGGGATCGCAAGATTTCTCGTCAGTAATACCATAATAGTCAAAATTTTCACTACTAAATTCTTTATATAAAGTAGGATACTGGCCCAATGTCTTGTTGCGAAAATAGGATCAGTCATAAGTAGTCCTAGGAATTAGTAGACGAGATGTGGTAGAAACGTTTACCTTAAGTTTTGAAGATGCATCACCATTGGTGGTTTTCAAAAGCACGTGACTCTGATCATTTCCTGAGGAAACAGTTTTTGAAGTTACTTGATCTATAACATTTTGAATTTGTTCGTTAGTTAATTTTGAAATCTCATTTGCATTGCAATTGATACACTTAATCTTATCAATCCCTACACCATTCTTTCCAAACAATTTGCGAATTTTTTTGGCTCTAAGAGTTTTAATTCGCAAGGTAACAGGCGTAACACTAGCCAGATGTTCTAACATTTCCTTGTATATTTGAGTTCTTGCAGTTTTATCAGTAACTCCTGTCTCACGACGAATTTTAACAACCTTATTTTCAAAATTATCTGAATAATGAACCCAGAACAAAATCTCTTCATATCCAGCTTGTGTTGCATTTCGAAATAAATGGATTAGGCTTTATGTTATAATTTGGCCATAAGATGCTTCGCAAGAGGATGAATACTGCTCACTAATTTCAGAAAGTGAAGCAATAATACTGCCACTCTGTAAATCTCGTATTAAATCAAGTTCTATATTCTGATTTTTAATGAGCTAGATCTCATCAGAGTCGTCACAATTTTGAATAACCTTTTGCTGATTTCTTGAAGTTTTTTTGATTTTTTCCAACTTCTTTGAAACCATCTGATCGTTTTCTGAGGAAACGGTTTTGTACTACTTTCAATTTTATCATTTTTTAAGAAAACAGTTGTATTATTTTCCGCAGAAGGTAATACTTTAAGGGAGGCTGTCTCACGCAGAAGTTTCTTCTTATTGCGTCGCCTTATCCCATCACTAACACTTTTCTTATGTGTATCATCCAAGAAAGTATCCATTTCTCTGTCCACTGATGATTTCTGATCACTCACACAAGATGGCAGAGATTGGTCCTGCTTTCTTTGACTATAGTCAGGAATCGATAGTAAATTATCATCAGATGAAGAATCTTCAGCGAAACACTTTTCAGTACTTTTCGCCTCTACTTTTATCTCTACATTCAAGTATATGCAAAAAGATGGGGCTGATTGCTTTACAATTGCTTCCTTATCATTCTTTGACACTGCCACGGAACTCTGTTCTATTATTGCGAGTCTGGCTTCAAGTTCTGTATTTTTTTGCTCTAGTTCCTTGACTCTAACAACACGCTGGCATTCTCTTCAATAATTTGCCTCAGCTTTGCGTTTTCAGCTTCAACCTCTGCAACCTTCCTCCTAAGTTCAGGAATCTCAACATTCTCGCCCTTGATTTCAGCAAACTTCTTCCTGAGTTCAGCAATCTCATCTAAAAGCTTAGCATTCAACTCTCTTAATGAATCAATAGATTGAGCGTTTGACATTGTTTTATACAGGGTATGAATAATTCAAAAGTTTGTCAGTATAAATATAAACAAGGAAATAATTATACTGTTAAATGTGACTTTATTGATACAGAAAATAAATTACATGGTTTAATGATACATAAACTTGTTCTAAAAAGTGAAATGGCGCTTCTATACAGCATACAAGTGTTTCGTTCATCTAAACTAACATAATATCCTAACATTAACTCTAATCTGATTTCATTTGCCCTAACGTTGATATTTTGGATATAATAAAATGGTTGTCAATTATGCATAGAATATGCAGAGTCAGAAATAAATTAACAATATTGACCTTGGTAAAACTCACCGACATTTTATGTTCTCCACCTTGAACAAAAAAAAATAGATATTAGCTTTGCAAGATTAATTGCAAATACACAGTCACAATTGAAATATTCATACCTTATTTGTGTGTCTCGTCCAGAACTTCAATAATTCTTCGTCAACGCTTCTTTCAAACTGAGTTCAGGCTCGGAGAAAATAATATTAGGCTTAAGAAAAAAGTTGTGTTCGTGAGTATACTATGCTTTATTTTTCTGTTGCACATACAAAGCCACATTAGTCAGATTGACGAAAATTTTATATAAATATCTGCCCTGATGAAAACTTTTCTTTCGTGCTGATCAAACGGCCATGAACTGTCCTGTTGCTTAAGGGTCAGAAGTCAACTAAGTAATCTTGCCATATTTATTTGTAATCATCTCTAAAATGACAGATCGATCAAATTTTTTAATATTCGAAAATGACTCAGCGAATAATCATCATAGAATAAGCGTAACATGATATGACTCAAACTTATCAATAATACGTTCGATGTATTTATGACTCAAGATTATCAATACTTGAATAAAGTATATAATGCTCTGCAAATTTAATACCTCTTTCTCCTTAAAGTTTTTAATTTTTATTGCAGGCATTGCGACGTCATGATCTTTTGTTTTGTCGTAGGTAACAACGTTGATACCTCTTTCGAGGTTACAGAAGACGAAAAAACTACCGTTTTGAGATTCAAGGAAATAATTTTTGGAAAAAATCAAAAATGTTTTGGTGATATTGATGCAAATAAGTTGCGTCTTTGGAGAGTTGATATTCCTTGGAAAAGTGACGATAAACTGGAAAAACTAGAACTACTTCGAATCAGATCTCTCAATGAAGATATTATTATATAAGAACTCAGAGGCAAGCTGTTATATCCTAGTATGGATATTGGTGACATCTTTACGTAGGACTCCAAAGACATCTGGATTATCGTATAACCACCATCTTCGCCTGCCACTACTGGTAAGTGTCTTCTAATGGTTTACCTCTCGAACAAGAAATTCACGTTATTTCACATCTTATATTTTTTTTATTTGATTAGGAAAGAGAAGACTGGAAGAGGATGAGGAAAGCGGAAGCTGAATAAGAGAGAAACGAACATGTATACAATATATATCGCTTGTGATGTTAACTTATATTTTTGTTATTCACTTCATTTCATTTTACTAATATTTTAGATGTGATTCCTGATGAGTCAGATGAAGGTCGTAACAAACTTATGATTATATCTTCTGAAAGATTAGGTCGTATTACTAGATTTGTAGAAAATAGCAAAATTAGCATTTTACGCAGTCCTCCGTCATCAGAAAAGAGCGCTCTTAGACAATATCTCCGAGAATATTTCAATAATCACAATTATGATAATATATATATTAGCCTCGCTAGCATAAATGGTACACAAACATTAAATGATGAAAGTCTCTTTGAAAGTTTCTGAATAACAGAGGTTGATTCTAGCTGAAAAAAAATTAATAAATGTAAAAATGCTACTTTTATTTTCATTGATGAAATTCAGATCATCTATGGTGATCGTGCTCCATTTTTTTTAGGTAAAGTGAAGCAACTTATGTCTAATTCTGGAAACCAAAATCTTAAGATACTTTTTTTCAGTACATACCACCCAATACTTTCAGATCAGCTTACACCCGTACAATTTAAATATGCTTTTAGTTTAAATAATCTATTTTTAAACCGAGAAGAGTTGCAACAGCTTGCAGCGAACTATGTTCAGCATCATATTATTTTGGGTAGTCTGCTCTTTAATATTACTGAAGATATTCAGGAAGCTATTTTTAATTTTACTGGCGGACACCCTGGTCTGTATCGATTTATTCTATCACAGTTACGCATTCATTATTGTGAATTTCTTGGTAATGAATAAAAGAGAAAATACTTCAGTATCTTGCTTCATCAGAATTACGAAATGGTATAACATCAAGTACACGTGCTTTTCACTGGATTCTTGACTGGATCCTAAGCAATGAAGAGATTAAATTTATTCATTTTGTACTACTAATAAGCCATAGTAGACCTTTATCCGTTGATTATGATTCAAATCCAGTTGCTAGGAGGTTTTTTAAGGCTAGTATTTTGGCCGAAACTGATAATCAAATACAATTTACCGCCCCATCATGCAAATTATTCTTATCTACCGCTTATTCACTAATCTTATGAGACAACCTGCTATCACCTTTGAAGAATTTTTGGAAAAATCTATTCATTGTATGAGTCTATCGAAATTATCTGAATCACTTGAAAGAGGAAAATTATCTAGTCCTTTATACGAGAGAAGCTGATAGATGAAATGGTATCATGCTTCCACAACTGTAGTCCTAGAGAATAAATCAATAAGTGCCTATATTGGTCCTGTATTCGATTCAGCTAGTTTCCTTAATTTTTACGTTAACGGAAATTGTTACTGAGGAATTGAGCTTACTCGCGAAGGTAGTCTTTTGAAGAAACATGCAGAGCGATTCGATAGTGGTGGTTTATATAACAAAATTCTATTGAAACGTTGGGTTGTAATTGATTTTCGACATTATTCAAAAGATATATGCGGAAAAAAACCAAATTTCTGGTATGCGCTTTATGATGACAATTATAAACAAATTACTATTATACGTAAGGGACATGATAATAAAGTCCTTATCTTGTATGGTGATGAATAATTTTATTGTAAATAAATTAGTTATATTCTTCATATTTCATTTAATAATTTAATAAAAAACAAATTTTAAATGCCATTAAGACACGTATCGCAAATATCGAATGTGCTAAATAGAGCAATAAAACTAGATAGATTTTGGAATCATTAGAGAAATATGATCACGTCACAAAAATCTGATCCTATTCAATAATTTATAATAGAAAAGTTTAACGCTATCCGGATCTTTATAATGCCGTGATATATAATGTCGTCTAACTAATGTTATAGCACATTTATTTATCAAATTCTGAATTAATGATCAAGAAATATTAGCATACAACTTAATGGAGTATTTTTAACTAGTTTATTCATTAGGGAAAATAAATAGAAAGTTAGCTTGTATTTTCAAACATGTACGTTGTCGCATTATCACATCATAGGTGTGACTGTGAAGAATAATATACATAAGAAATAAATATAAAAGTTCGAGTCTTTGCCCTAAAGTTACTACGTTGGCCATTAGCCTATCTATTCCTCTGCAAGACTACATTCCCCTCTACATGAAATACCACTTTTTCACATCTGTCACAATTCCTCATACTTTATCGATATTATACTCATGTTTGCTTTGCGCTTGCGAGATAGTGAAGACAATCTGAACGGCAACTGTGTAAAGCTTCTATCTTTTTTCAGATAGTAACTTGATTGTAACATTTTGTCAAAATTTCAAATAAAATAAAAACACGTGATTTTGGGTGAACTGAGTTCGCCAAAATTTGCTAAGAAAATTTTTTATTAATACATGCGAAAAATAAATATAAAGGGGCGAAGGACTATGCCTGGAATACATATTATTTTTTGATAAATTTTTTGATCCTAGCTCTCTTGCTAGCTGGAGAACTATCTACACTAACACGATCCTTTAATAATCCAACAATGATGCCGATTACTCTTTTCACATTACTACGAAGTAATTTGGGATTTTCTTTAACGACGGTTTTCGTGAGATTAATTTGATATTCGTTACCACTCATAGAGTATATGCCATCTGAAGTATATATGATAAAATGCCACTCCGTACCTGTAGTCACAATACCATAGATATAATCAAAATAATCATTTCCAAATGCTTGACCCACAGTTTGTTTCTTTTTATTTGTTTAGAATGCACTTTCAAGTTGCGCCAGATTTTATTAAATAAAATGATATTATTGAATCTCTAAAATACGAATCTTTCCTCGAGAAAAAAAAGGATCTACCTATGCATATCCAATCTTAATATTACGTGGTTTCCCCTCAGCAACACATAAGAGGTCTTTCAGACTTTTGATTGCGTAGTCTACTCAGCCTGTTGCATCTTCACCAGAAACGTCTTTCTGTAAAACTATAAATATATCTTAGGTGGTAAGTTTTTTAATTATAGCAATTGATGCATGTAATATTACTGAAATAAATTCACAGCGCGTTGCCTCGTTAACATCGGTCATGGTTTTCATGTTCGAAAGTTTTAAGATTATATCCTCCATACAGTGATTGAGTGCCTTATCATCGTCATTAATTTCCTCAAAAACTGTAGAGAAAAATTAGTTATTATATGTGATACTCTGAAAAAATTAAGAGAGTAATCACCCACCAGGATTAAACTGCTTGATGTTTGTTATATCTTCCCCATTGATCTTATTTCTGCACAACATTTCTTTCAAGTCATCGAGAGTTTTAAGCGAGGAATAGTTTCGTAGCTTCTGGCTGAGACCTTCAATGAATTTTGTAAGCCTTATTGCTGGACTTAACGCAAAACCAATATTACGAAATTTTTCTTCTGTTAATTCAAAAAAGTCAGAGCCAGAAATTTCTTCCTTTCGTAAAATTTTAAAGTGGGTCTCCTTGAGCTTCAAGTCTTTCCTCCCCAAATATTCAATAAGCTCTTCTGTATCGAAATTCTTAACAACGTCTGACATTGTTCTAGTGGAAATTTCTTTCATTATTGAAGCAGGTGAAGCAAGTGAAGAAGCTTGTGAAGACATGGTTTTTATATATGTGTTTGTGCTTGCGAAAAAATATGCATCCGACTGTAATTACAGGTAAAGCTGGTTTATGGATATAAAGTATTTTGGTTTCCGAAGTAAAGCGCTCAGGTAGAAATGATAGATTTTTTTGTATTGCATTTGCCCATGTAGTATAGAGATTATATTATATTATTACACGTGACATTTTTCAAGATTTACGACAAGAACATAATGTATGCTTTATTTAAGAAATAAAAAAAAAACATTGCCAGAATTCGGCCTACAATACATAAAAATTGCGACTATGCGAAGTGCCTTAATGGCTATCACTTTTACACAATAATCTTATCTGGCAAGATATAGAGAGGTTAACTTGAGCCTCACACCCGTTACTGGATTTATATCTCCAGTATACCATGCTTGTGATGAATTAGAAAATATCTTCAGTTTTGTACCATCTGAGGCCTTAATAAACTTCACCACTTCATTCACAAGAGTTGCAACTTGATTGCTAGATATTTTTTCATCAGAGGTGAGATGGTTGGGAGTATTATCTCTATCTTTGTCTAACTTGTCAATTGTTGAGATATCAGATGTATTGGTCTTATTGAGCACTTCAGCCTTATCAGACATCTTGTTTTCCTAAATTTAAGGCCCATAGTGAGGAATTTTCGTTCCTATACATACATAACTTCTGACATATATATATCTTATTTTGCGTTAGCTATGTTAGTGAAACTATTTTACAGGAATATTTTTTGCAGAAAGTTGGCTGAACTTTCACATACCACTACATGCTTTATATCTTGCTGGAAAAAAGTTAAGGAGATAAGAATAGTGATTAGCATTGTCGTTTGATGCCAAGAGCTCTATGAAAGTATATGCAAATAAAATCTTCATACCTTTTCACATGGAGATCTACCTGCAAGACATATAGTTGGTTTTACGTCTGGCGATCTCAGAATTGCAAGTCCCTTAGCCTTTCATAACATATGCTTTTACCGGTACTATTTACTTGTAAGGAAGGTCCTGTGTTGTAACTAGACGCTCTTTCATATTTTTCTCATGTTTGTTTGGGAAAAATAAAGAATAAAGGTTAATATGTTTTCTTTTCGAATGTATATGCAAGATTAATATTACACAAACCCTGTCTAATGATCGCCTATTTTTGTTACACATGAGTACATGTATTGAGGCTCAGCAAATTCTTCCGAGCTGGTGATCACTGCTCTGGACTACCTTCGCTCGAGTTAGTTATCCAATATATACCTCTTAATAAGTATTATATCCCATTCAGATTAGCAATACTGGACTGACTAATATAATCTTTAAATCCAGTTATAATACCAGTCATTGATTCTTTTTTTGCCTGAATAAGCATTTCTACCAATTCACAATAATAATTATTTTTTGATCTTTACAGAGTTTGACATTTTTTCGCCTTTAAACAGTAATCAACTATTGATTCTTCACCTTGAATAAGCAATCTACATCGGGGTTTCTCAATACCTTCCAGCCATATTTCTCATCGAAGTTTATGCAGATAATATGGCAATTCTATCAGACTCAAAATATGTGAAAGATAGAAAGCATCAGAATGTATAAATACATGGAATAATAATGATGGATTTCTTACATTGAGCAGACTATGTACAAATTGATTAAGCGCTTTCTCTTTCCAATGCCTAACTGCCTTTGTCCCCCAGTAGGTTTTGATTATGCAAAAAAGGTCGTCCCAGTATCTCCACTCATTGGGATTCCTTTTATTACTCCATTCATATCTCAATTCATATTCTTTGATAAATTCATTGTAGCCTTCATCTGTCTCGTTATCTGATATTTTGCTAGTAGATTGATTAAATATTTTCAATCAGAAAAATAGGTTAATCATTACTTGTTTCTATCACATATGAGTACATGCATTATGGCTCAGCAAATTCTTCTGAGCTGGCGATCACCGCTCTGGTTGATGATCAGTATTTCAGATACAAATTTGAATATATGCTAACCAGAGATAACGCAATCATAACAAGAAATACTAATAATAATTCTGATCAAATCGATGATGAGCTACATGAAGAGCCTTTATATGAAGTGCTTCTATATAAGAAGAAAGATATAATAGCTATTCAGAAAAAGCTCGGTATGGTCCCAGACCAGATGAAGGGACCTATTGAGAATATATATCAAACAGCATTAAATCAAAGTAAAAAAGGAAAAATGTTTGAAGATTCGTTTGGGCTATTATTTGATTTGGTAGGGGAATTAATAGATATATGGAAAGATCTTGGTGTAATCGACCACCCCATTCTTACTACATTATATGGAAATATACAAGAATTTGATGAAGTAATATTTGGGAAAATATCACTTGGGACATTATATCATTTGCTTTTATATTTGGAAGAGGATATAAGCGCGATTCAAGATTATCTTGGTATTGACGGTCATTCTGATCAAAAAATAAGTGGATTAGAAGAAGCTAATAAAAATGCAAAAGCGTATCTTTAGCGAAGCACTTACAGGTAAACTTCTGATGGTTTCTTACTGGAAAGTAACTACTATTATTTCAATTGTATGAAAATTCAGCTAGTGTTCATGTCTAGAACAGGTTAGCTAATCTATATTTTTTGTCACATAGGAG